ATCAGGAGCAGTGCCTGGAACCTCCTATGTGCTCAATAAGTATTGAATGAATGAATTATGGTGGTTCTGAGAAACTGAGAACAAGAATACGGAAGAGGAAGTGGTCTAGAGAAAAATATGTCACATTCAGTTTAGGACTTTCTGGACCACTCCAGGGAAGACTCTGTAGGAAAGATGAAGCTATGCCGAGTCTCAGAATGTTAGATCTGACAGACACCCCAGAGATTATGCTCTCTTCAGTAGTATCATTTAGAAAAGAAAAACAACAACAACAACAACAACAGGTCCAGAAAAGTGAAGTACCTTGAGCATGGCAAGACAAACACTAGCTAGATACTAGCACAACTGAGCTGAGCTCCCAGGCTTCCTGTTCCCAGCTCCATGCCTTTGGTGTTTATGCCTCATATTGTTTGGTTTCTGCTGATCTAAGAGAAGGCTAAAAATCACTTGCCTTTGACCTTCAGCTAAAACTTAACTAAATTGTTAAATGACTATTTTTATGGGGCCTAGTTGGCCAATTAGTTCAGGAAAGAAAACTTTTGAGCATGAACGAAATATAGAAAAATCTAATCAAGGAGAACTCTTCATGGCTGAGGCTGCCTTAGCAGCTGTGCTAGAACAATAGACGTCTTTGATTGTGTGCCTCACGCCAAGCAAGAGGTTGGCTGAAACACTCATGATTTCATTTTTATTTGATATTTTTAATAGAAATATAATTTACACACAGTAAAACCTACAGATGTTAAGTGCACAAGTCAATGAAGTTGCCCTTCTCAGTCAAAGTCCCCTCCCACAGGCGCCACAATTCTGATTTCTATCACCATTGTTCAGTTTTACCAGTTAAAGAACTTAATAAAAAAGAAAACCTGTAGCATAGATTTTTCTGTGTCTGGCTCCTTTTGCTAATGACTTTTAGCATCATGTCTGTGAGATTCAGCCATGTTGTTGTTGTTATTAGTTTTTTTTCCCTTCATATTGCTGAGTAGTATTCCATTGTATGAATATACCACAACTTGTTTACCCATTCTTTTACGATGAATATTTGGGTTGTTTCTAATTTCTGGCTACTGTGAATAAAGCTGCTATAGACATTCTTATTAAGTCTACTTATAGACATATGTTTTCATATCTATTGGGTAAATCCCTAGAAGTGAAATGTCTGGGTCATAGGATAGTTACATGTTTCACTTTATAAAGAACTGCCAAAGAATTTTCCAAAGTGGTTTTATGATATTACACTCACAACAGCAATGTGTAAGATTTAATTTCCAATTCCTTCAGATCCTCACCAATAAAGGTGTTATCAAGCCTTTTCATTTAGCCACAATACCATTTTGGTAACTGCTGAGAAGAAGCAAGATCTTGGGAACAGATGGGGGTAAGTGGGGGTGGGGGCTGGGGAAGCTGCTGGGGACATTTTCTCTAGGGATTGAACTAAACTAAGAAAGATCGGCCCTAGGTTCAACGCAAAAGGATCTTTTCATTCCGGTCATTTCGCCCACGCAGAGAATGATGCCTCTGGAAGTGGTGGTGGAGTTGCAGATCCGGGCAATTTCCTGCCCAGGGGTGTTCCTTCCTGACAAGCAAGATGTGTACCTTGGGTTTATCTCCTGAATCAGTACCTGGAGACAAACTGCTTTCCCTTTGTGTTCCCTATTATGATTCAGCAGAGGATGAGATTTCAAAAGTTATTTGAAAATGCAATAGATCCTGGAGCTGTAGCAGACATTTTAGAAAGCATTTTGACCAGGTTTGAATTAATAGAGCTAGTGCCTCCAGAGGGGAAGGGCGAGCGAGCAAGACAGAAACATCAATGCTGCGAGAGAATCATTGATCGGCTGTCTCCTGCATGCCTCACAATGGGGACCACGCCTGCAACCCAAGCATGTGCCCTTGACCAGAATCAAACTTGGAACCCTTCAGTCTCCAGGCCGATGCTCTATCCACTGAGAAAAACCAGCTAAGGCTGCAACTTGCTTTTTTAAATTTATTTATTAACTAAGATGTCTTTATGAGAAACCAAGATGGCGGCATAGGTAAACACTGGAGATTGCTGCCTCACACAACCACTTCAAAAACACAACTAAAAGACGGAACGGCCATCATCCAGAACCACAGGAAGGCTGGCTGAGTGGAAATTCTACAATTAGAAGGAAAGAGAAAAGTATACTGAGACTCAGAGGAGGTGGGGTGCGGAAGTAAAATACAGAGGTACAGAGGCGCATGCAGAGAGGGTTGGTGGCTGAGGACACAGTTGTCTTTTTCTATAGGGAGGGGG